AATGGTTTCGTTTCGTGATGACTCTATGGTGTGCTTTATCTGCCTCATTCCCGCTGAAGTGTGCGGGTTGTGTGACGTTTGATTCGGGGACGTTCTGTGGGCGGTGTTTGCGTGACGCGCTGTGAGCTTTAGCCCGACAGTGGAAACGCGACATGATTTCAGCCTCATTTCTCAACCTCCCGGGCTATTGGCCCGCCCCGGCCCGATTAAAGCCCTGGCTCGCACTGGCCCGATAGTGGAAATGCGGCTAATGATGAAAAATAACATATTCAGTTCAACAGTCAAACACTGATGCTTTTTGTAAGGCCAGGCAGGAATGTAAATCATTCTGTGGAATTTGAACTTTAACTAATGAAACTGAATCTTTTCTCTCAATTAAATGACATTTAGAAAAAATATAGAAACTGTTTTATAAGACTGAAGAGCTTTATTCTGTCAAAACAAACAGCTTGATATACATTATCCTGCTTATTACCAAAGACTATAGAATGCACAAGATGTGTCACTCATATAGTTTTGAATAAGGAAAAGTGTAACAGTCAATATGGCGAATAAAGCCCCGCCTACTTGTACAGAGCCAATTATCAATCGCCATATAGCAAATAAAGCCAGCCTTCTAGTACAAGAGCCAAACAACAATCGCTATAGACAGATAATAGTCCGGGAGAGGGACTCGCACCAGACGTGAGTTTCAGCAGATTTTGTGTGTTTTAAATGTTTAGAAAAGAAACTAAAGAGACAGTCGTTGTTTAATTTGATTGGTGATTCCTAATATGAAATTTAATCATAAGCTTGGCAAGCAGTTTTGAAGAATTTGATGTTTCCCCATTCAAACAGAATGCCCAAACATACTGCCGCCAAAGATGGCCGCCAAGTAAAATTACTTGCCTTAAAGGGACTTTGTTATTACACAGCTACTAACTAAACAATTAGAATCAAAACAGTGATGTTAGCTGTAATCACACTACTGTAGTGGTTTTAGGATATTTTAATGAAAACAATCATAAAGGCAATATTTACACTGCAATGTTCAAGTGACTCAATTCCAATTTTTTTCTCTCATGTGTAACAGACTGGATATGTAAGCTGGGACAAATCACTTGGATTCCGATTCACTTAAATCAGATTCAGGCCTTTTTCATATGTGGAAATTTATCCAATATGGATCGTATCTGTGTTCTTGTGTCTGCAGTATAAGCAGGTTGATCAGATTTTCACCTATCAATGCAAGTCGTGCGTCATTAAAAACCGTAGCAAATGAAATCAGTCTACAACTTTCTTTTCAGAACAGACTTCAGAAGTGTCCCAAACCTTAAATCTCATACACGAGGACTTAAACAGCTTTTATATTGTCATATAGCACAGGTAGTTAAGCATGTTAACCAGAGCGAGAGAGCACAACATCCGCAACGTAACTAATATAAACTAATAAAGAACTTGTGCATAGCTACATCACGTGCATAAATCATGCCATAAACATTACATTAAGATGTCTACAGGTTTAAAAAAGCCTATAAATCAAAAGAAGATGGACAAATGAGTACCTGTTTGTCATAAACTATAGTAAAACAGCTTGTCAAAAGCTGCAAATAGATTACATACACCAGGCGTTCTCAACCTTTTTCACTTCGGGGCCCACTTCTTTCTCCAATCAATTTTTGAAGGCTCACCTGTCTGACATTTTCTCTGAAATGTTTGTATGAAATGTTCCTTTAAAACTTTATTTATTAAGTAATATATATATATATATATATATATATATATATATATATATATATATATATATATATATATAATTATTATAATATTAAGAAATATACAATACCTGTATGTAATACTATATATATAATGAAATCTAAAAATTATAGTATAATATTAATTAGGGGTGTGACGAGACGCCTACTTCACGAGACGAGACCAGACACGAGATTGGGTTCACGAGAACGAGACGAGATTCTTACACTATTTTAAAGAAATCCTTACTGATGAAACATATGAATGAAATAGTCTTCAAATATTTTGCCAATATATGGAGGGAAAATAGATTTTTATATATAAAAAAGTTTTTAAAACACAAAATGCAACTCAATTTAAGTGTTCTTTTAACCTACTTCCATTTTTTATATATGCAATTTCCATAATTATTCCCATAATGTTATGTATGCAATAGTTGTATATTAGTTTATATTGATTTCTATGCAATGAACATGCAAACACATCAAAATATTTGATTATATATATATATATATATATATATATATATATATATATATATATATATATATATATATATATATATATACATTTGTATAAATGGAAAATAGCAAACTCTACTGACTAGCTTTTCCCCTATAGATTTTCATAGTATTTACATTGCAGATCTTGATGGTCAATTCGGATTTTGTGACAGTATCCAATTTTTTGATGACCTGCTTACATTTATCATATTTAAAAGGTGACTCGTATCCGATTATCTGCATTTACACAGCTCACAGCAAAAGGCGCAATGACCAGGGAAAAAAAGAGGGGCGCTGACTAACAGCTGATAATAAAAGAGAGCTCTTTTCCCCATTCCTGTGTTTATTCTGTTTGCATGTTTTCATTTTTTTTCTTTTTGACAAGTTGTTTTCCTATAGTTTATGACAGAAAGGCTCTCATTTGGCCATATTATTTTTATCTAGGCCTTTTTAAACCAGTAGGCATCTTAATGTAATGTCCATGGCTTGATTTGTGCATATGGTGTATGCAACAGTATTATTTTATATTGGTTACGTGGTGGATGTTGCGCTCTCTTTCTCTCTCGTGAACATGCAAAAAATACTTGTGCTACATGACATAGGGTGTTTTTTAGTCCTTGTGTAGAATTTGGTCACTTGAACCTTGAAAAGAAACATAAACATGTTTGGTAATGATGAAGGCGGGTGTGTTGAGTCTCCAGCAGTTCAGTATGTGTGTGCGCGCTTAAATATGTGTGTAGGTGCCGAAAATATACTGTCAAACAGCTGTGTGGACGGTCCTGTCGCAAAATGCGGCTTGAAGTCCTACACGATGATGATAGTTTGATTGCGGCGTTTACTGTACAGTACTTCAATAATGCGGCTTTCGGCGCATCATGAAAAAAAAACGGTTACGTCACACCCGTCCGGTCAACCGAGTGACGTGCATCACAGAGTCCTGATTCCAATCTTCATCATGCTAACATCTTAACTCATGAGATAACTTTTTACCTCGACGAGAAATCTTGTCGCGATTTAATCTCTCAAGATCTCGTGACACACTTAATATTTTGAGTTAATTTTAAGGTATCTCGCGACCCACCTGCAGGATCGCTGAGGCCCACTAGTGGGCCTATCATCATATAAAGGCTATAAAGCTCTTGCATTATGTAGTGTGATGAAAACGAGCCCACCAGCTCTTCTTCAGGGGAAGAAATGTGAGTTTGAAAGGGGAATAATATGATGGCTTACTCGCAAAGCATTATCGTGCAAGGTGATGTTTATTTACAGTGCCAAAAAGTTAATCCACAGTGAAAGTATATACAAGTGCTAACAAGGGGGGGGGGGAGTACCAAAGAAACAACAAACAGGAAAATAAAATCTGCAAAAATATACTCCTATTATATCTGCAGAAAAATAATAATAACAGGTATCCACAATATATTCGCGCGAGGCACCACAGTACCACTCTTGCATCGACTTTGTAAATAAGTGTTGTATGATAGTTGGGCTCTGGCTTATATGAAAACTCTAATAGAGAACCATACTGCCAAAGATAACTTCTTTAATAAATTCAATACAACTCGGCATAGTGTTTCTGCCTGAACTGATCATCCATCCATGACTCCTCATATGCGATATAAGCAACATAGGCTCATTCTGAAAATGTAGCCCTATATACATTTCTGGAGATCGCGATTTATGTAGCCAGAGGAACGTATGGCTGCATTTTGTCTTTAAAACAAACAATACAGGGTGTTATGACATTGTTTCTTTTCATGCTAGCAGTTGACCGCTTAACTTTGCGGGGACAGCTTTTCAGCTGTTACAAGTTCGTCCAGTGGCTCGCTACATATGTCGGAGGATTTGAGATGCAGAGCAGAGTTGACCATGACGAAGAGGTTCGAGTCCTGGCGAAGAATGTTTCCAGAAAGCAGGTAAGACTTTTTGTTTTAGTGGCATAGACACACTGTTGTGATTATGTACTTTGATCAGAAATACATTCCGTTTAATTTTTAACCAATAAAACATTCATTCATTCATTCATTTTCTTTTCGGCTTAGTTCCTTTATTAATCAGGGGGTCGCCATAGTGAAATGAGCCGCTAACTTCTCCAGCATATGTTTTATGCAGCGAATGCCCTTCCAGCTGCAACCCATCACTGGGAAACATCCATACACACTCATTCACACACACATACACTAAGAACAATTTAGCTTACCTAATTCACCTGTACCACATGTTTTTGGATGTTTTTCGGTTTTGGAAGCAGAGCAAAAACCCGGAGGAAACCTACGAGATCACGGGGAGAACAAGCAAACTCCACACAGAAATGGCATCTGACCCAGCAGAGGCTCAAACCAGCAACCCTCCGCTGTGAGGCGATTGTGCTACCCACTGAGCCACTGTGACGCCCACCAATAAAACAGCAGCTTTAATTGTAAATTATAATTGACCCTAATTATCTTGTTCACACACACAAAAAAATAAATAAATCATACACGTCATATATAACTGACATAAATGTAGTCAATACAGTTCTGCCATTCCTGCCAGGCCTCATAAGCTGTGTTTGACTGAACTGAACACTATCCAAACCATCTAAGACCAACACATCTAATACTGTCCATCAACATCTACACATTAAAATTAGAGAAAACCAACTTCAATTGAACACCTCTGCACCAAACACTTTTAAATCATAGGATAAAGACAGATAGGACGAGCAGGCAGTCGGCAAATCAGCAGGGAAAATAAAAGCAATTGTGATATAACCAGACTTACCTTTGGGTGTCTATGTGTGGTCTCTGCAGGGCAGATTTGAGGACAAGGGCATCAGAGCGCACAGTCTTCTGAGGTGATGTCTTAGGGCTGGAATCGGACTCACCGCTATCATCATCTCCCATGGCTTTGACGTAACTACTGCTACGCATCCGGCGACAGGGAATCTCCTCCTCCCCTGGATAACCTCCCCACTCATCCTGAGGCACCTGCAGATGTACAAACACACCACATCAAAGGCTGCTCTTGCACACAGAGCGAGGGAATACCACACCTCTCATTACACATCACGTCAAGCTGTTCCGCAATTCTGCCAGCTGCAGCTCACTTTCTGCCAGAGGATCTGTGGGAATTAGGGGCCATTCACACAGAACGCGTTTTTTTGTTTTGTTTTTTTTTTCAATCCAATGCGCTACTTTTCATCTCTCATCTTTTGAAGCACGTCGTGTTAGGACTGCACGATATAAAAAAATGTCATTGCAATATTTGGTTTTTCTGTGCTATATATTGTGATATATATGCAAAATATATTAAGTTTAACCACTGATGAAAATAGAATAGTGCTTTATGGTGGAGTCTATTAATATTAAGGCACAGTAATTCAATAATCAAATATAAAATAGCACAGTATAGTCTTCATTGTATAAAAAAATTCAACACTTTTTATTTTTGTTAAAGTGGCAAACTTTTTTCAGGATTCTGCCACTCCTGTCTTGTTAATTCTTGCTTTGGTGATTCCAGGCACTAGTCCTGTCATGTCTCATATGTTGTGCTTAGCTCGAGTTTTCTTTATTTAGCCTTTTCTATTGGCTTCAAGTCAGGTGATTGGCTGGGCCATTCTAGTTTGATTTTTTGGCTCTGAAAGCATTTGAGAATTTCTTTGGCTGTGTTTTGGATCCTTGTCATGCTAAATGTCCACCCTGGTTTCTTCTTTATCATCCTGATTATATAGATGTTAGATGAAAGGCTGAAGCAATATTAATTTACAATGACAAAGAACAGAGGGTTGCTGAAGAACTACAGAGTTAGCTGCTGTCTAGGCTTTCACTGCCTTTTTACACCTTCCTTTCTTCATGTGTTCAATACTTTTTTCTTGCATCATTTCATTTTATTACACAGAACCTAATTTGTCAACTGCACCTTTGGAAATATTCTTTCTGAGAAAAATTGTGACGTGTTCAATACTTATTTCCCCCACTGTAAATATTCAAAGCTTCAGGTTTGTCATTCTCAATAAAATTAATCAAATGTGTTGACGTCACCTCATACCTCTCGTCAAATCTTCTGACCAATTAAACACTCCCTAACTTTTGACACATTCTGGCCATTTAAGATGCTATTGCTAATGTAGAACATTGATGTAGATATCTTTTCATATCACAGAGAGTTCAAACTGAGGGTTTGTTTAAACACTTAAAGAAAATAAAAAACGGTAACCAAAACTGTGCTGATTGGTACTAAAGACTAAAAGGACTTTGTCTGAACTTCTTTTTAGTCATTTTGAAATGGCAAGCTCTGTCCAATAACATGATAATAATAAGTCAATTTGTTTTAGATGGCATTTAAAGGCCCTTAGTGAAAGGGCATGAAGAGAACTAAAAGAGCTTGAATATCAAATCTGGATCATGAATTTCCAAAGAAATCGCATACAAGCTTATCTTGCAGCCTCTTGTTTATAAAGCAATGTTAAGCATGTTTGTTTAGGTGAATAAATATATTCTGACTTATGTATTCTAATAGAAATAGTCGGCTTTGTGAGGAAATGAAACATCAGTCAGCACAATAAACAAAGAGAATATAAAATGACACCTTAGTCTAGTCTCAAAAACCAATTATAATTCAAAAAGGGTTGTGTTGTAATTGTGTTTAGCAATGGCATATACACTACCTGACAAAAGTCTTGTTGTCTATCCAAGGTTTAGGAACAACAAATAATAACGACGTCGGGTTGATCATTTAGTATAAGATGTGGCTTATATGAAAGGCAAAGACTTCTAGATTACACTTATTTTACCAAAATAAAATAGGATCATGCCTTGATTTTTAATTATTTCATTATGAAAGTAAGGTCTGACATTTTGCTGAGACAAAAGTCTAGTCACTTTAATAATAAGATAATGTACAGTATAGAATATAAGGTCATGGTGCAGTAGAAAAAGAATGAATATTGTGTATGACTCCCATAAGCTCGGAGGACTGCATCCATACATCTGACTCAAATAACTTAATAAAGTCATCTGGAATGGCAAAGAAAGCGTTCTTGCAGGACTCCCTGAGTTCATTAAGATTCTTTCAGATGCCTCCTCCTCCTCATCTTACCCCAGACATGCTAGACAATGTTCATATCTGGTGACTGGGCTGGCCATTTCTGGAGTACCTCAACCTTTTTTGCTTTCAGGAACTTTGACGTGGAGGCTGCATGAAAAGAAGTGCTATCCTGCTGAAGAATTTGCCCTCTCCTGTGGTTGTAATGTATAGTAATGGTCAGCACAAATGTCTTGATACCTTAGGCTGTTGAGGTTGCCAGTCATTTGCAGATTTGCATGCCCCCATATTAAATGTAACATCAAACCATGATTTTTTTCTTCACTAAACTTGAAAGATTTCTGTGAAAATCTTGGGTCCATGTGAGTTCCAATCAACACAAATATTGCAAAATACCTATTGGGATGCAGTTCAACAGATGATTCATCTGAAAAATCGACCTTCTACCACATTTCCAAAGGATGAACTAGAAGTCAAGTTATTATTGGTGCTCTAACAACTGGGATCGCAGACAAAACTTTTGCAAGGTTTTGTACACATTGCAGAAGGATATCACTCTTCATCTAAATGCTTAATCCCACACACACACACACGTTTATACTTAAAGGGACAGTTCACTCAAAACTAAACTAGCTGTCATTATTTACTGTCTGAGGGTCTTTCTTCTGTTGAACACAATAGAAGATATTTTGAAGGAAACTAGTAGCTATTGACTTCTTTAGTATTCCTTTCCAACAATGTGAGTCAATGGTTACTTGTTTACAATTTTTCAAAACATCTTTTTTGTGTGTTCAAAAATATAAAGAAACTCATTAAGGTTTTGAACCAACTGAGTTTGAGTAAACAGTGATTAAATGTTCATTTCTGGGTGAATTATCCCTTTAAAAATAATGAAGAAAGCATTCAGCAGATGTTGTGTACCACATTCGAACCACTGCCACAAAGTAGCAGCTTTTTAAATGTCATTTTCTGGGCTTAGACGGGTCCCAAATGTAAAATATGATTTATCAGAACACTGGTATTATAAAATCACTGTCCTCAAGCTTATTGGCAGGAAATATGCTGTGAGAAAAAAATGGGTCAGTGAACCTAAAGACCTCATAACCTTAAAAAAATCTCTTGCATCTGAACACAGCATGCATTAACACCTCCAGTTTTATTTTTAAGGGATAGCGTTAGATATCTGTGTAGGATGTGGCCATGGCAACCACACATGAATAAACATTGTAGCTCAGACTTCAGATGAAAAGTAGAGATTATCTACACCAGAGGCAATCAAATCAATGTATTAAGAGCAAAACAATTGCAAGGGCTTTGTAAAATGTCAAAATACAAAGGAAAAAATTTGTTTGATACTCTTTGATGTATTTGATTTTTCGCATTGATTTTTACTCACAAAATAGGGGTACGTTTTTATTTGTACTTCAGCTTTCAGAAAGAAAAAAAGATGCAACAAATGTACTGTGGCAAAACAAAATCAACACAACTCATAGATATTCATAGTCTTAAACAGAACTGTGGGAATGGTTCAAACCAACTATTCCAACATTTGCTTTACACAGCGGATGCCCTTCCCGCTGCAACCAAGTATTGGGGAACACCCATACACACTAATTTACAGACACACACACATACACAAATACACACAAACACACACACACAACCACACACACACACACACACACACATACACACATATACACTATGCCCAATCTAGTTTATTCAATTCACCTACAGCGCATGTGTTTGGACTGTGGAGGAAACCGGAGCACCCGGAGGAAAACATGCAAACATGGGAAGAACATGAAGACTCCACATAGAAATACCACCTGGCCCAGTCGAGACAGCAACCTTCTTGCTGTGAGGCAACACTGCTAACCACATTAGTGCAATGTATTGAATAATTATCCAAAAAAAAAATATGTCTTTTATTAGACTAGTTTGAGTGTGTTCATTTAAAACTGGGAGTTAAATACAGATCAGACTGAAGGACAGTACTGATATTAATTATAATGACTGATCCGGAGTAAGCAAACTAAGTGTCAGAGTTCAAATAAAACTAAAACCAGTTTTAACCACTTAAACTCTGCTGCTATTTGGGGATTTTCGCCTGGATTTTACCAACCCAAATTTAAAAGAATCCCAAATCCACATAAAGAGGTGTAAATGCAAAAGTTTGGTATCATTTAAAAAAAAAAACCTTTGAATTTTCATAGAACACTATTGAAAGTGTTTCAAAATAACTGGATATGTCGTCTATGTTATAATAAACACCTAAAAAAAGAGGCGCTTTTTGTATTTTTTTTTTTATAAACTCAAATTTGAAAGTGTACCTTTTAGGTTCTGTGTGGTCTAGCGTGCTGTAATTAATTTTGGTGGTTCCTGCACATGTCTGTAATGATAGAAAAAAAGAAAAAGGTCTCTACCATAATCTATGCAAAAGTTATTGCATTCCAACTGATGAGAGGTGCTGTACAAGCCACAGAGACCGATCCTTGTTTCCATATTTCACTATTCTTTTATTTGATCAAACATAATTCACTGTGTTTGGACCACATCAGTCATATAAAAGGATTAATTATGCACATCACCTCAAAAACAGAGGAGAATGGCCCTAAAGGGCACAGCATAAGGTAAGAGATGACAGCTGTCTGTGCATCTGGGGCTGCTTATTGATCATGGATGTATTGTTTACATTTCTGCGCCATGGAAACACCACAATTCATTCAACAACTGTTTGGCATATGAATATAATTCAGTAAAAAGAATGCTAGAACTGTATGAGCACCGGCAAGAGCTTTCATTTGAGCTATAACTTGTACATGTGTCATGTAAAAAAAATATGAAAATGAACCAATGTAAAATACCTAGCTCGGGTATCCAAAATACTGTGTATTTAAGTGTAAATAACTTTTATACAGTAGAATAAAAACCGAAGTGATGC